GCTCTCTGGCTGCTAAGAGTGCAGGCTGGAGGACGGCTGTCTCCTGAAGTTACCTAGTGAGTCACTGGCTTGCAATCAGGGCTGGCTCACCCCCTTTCCTGTTTACCTTCTCGATGAGTCGTCTTTCTGTGCCAACTTATTACTCAGAGTGGAGGGCGGGAGGGCGGCAGCGAGAGGCGGGGCCGGCCCCTCCTCCCTTGTGAACACAGAGCGGCTCGGTTCTGGGTTAACAGTCTCACACTCGGGGCAACGAGGAACGGAGCAAAGGTTTCCCAATCGCCGAGAGGCTGCTTAATCAGGCTGGATTTCGTGGCACGCCGAAAGCAAAACATAAGACTGTATGGCTGTACACACTCCATATAGTTAAAGGACCCCTGACCATTAGGTTCAGTCGTGGCTGACTCTGGGGTTGTGGCGCTCATCTCGCTTTATTGGCCGAGGGAGCCGGCATACAGCTTCCGGGTCCTGTGGCCAGCGTGACTAAGCCGGAGTAGTGCACAGAAATGCCATTTACCTTCCCGCCGGAGCGGTACCTGTTTATCTACTTGCACTTTTGACGTGCTTTCGAACTGCTAGGTTGGCAGGAGCAGGGACCGAGCAACGGGAGCTCACCCCGTCATTGCGGGGATTCGAACCACCGACCTTCTGACCGGCAAGTCCTAGGCACTGAGGTTTTACCCACAGCGCCACCCGCGTCCATATAGTTAGAGCACGCTTAAAGCACCTGGAGAAAAATCCTGGAAACTGTAGTTTATCCTCTCTCAGAGTGACAATTTCCCAAACCGTTGCCAAACTACAGTTCCCAGGATTCTTTGGGTTTCGAATCACTGCAAGCTTCTTCAGGGGGAAAGTTTCCATTGTATTTCGAACTTTAAAGCAGCTGCTGATATTTTTCCTGTTCCATCAGTCAATTAAGAATGCATATTTCCATAGTACAGTCGTACCTTGGTTCTGGAACGCCTTGCGACTCAGAACGTTTTGGCTCCCAAACGCCGCAAACCCAGAAGTGAGTGTTTCGGTTTACGAACGTTTTTCAGAAGCCAAATTTATGACGGGCTGCCAATTGGCTGCAGGAAGCTCCTGCAGCCAATCGGAAGCCGCGCCTTGGAAGTCTAACGTTTTCGGAAGTCAAACAGACTCCCGGAACGGATTCCGTTCAAGAACCAAGGTACGACTGTAGTTGATTTCTGATTCTAACATTGTTATTTTTTGTCGTATATGGTTTCATGTATAACTGTTGTAAACAGCTGTGTGGTTGTTGTTTTTAAATGAACACCAATATATAAATATTTTTGCAATTAAAAAAATAAACTACTTGGTGAGAGCAATGAGGTACATAGAATCGTAGAATTTTAGAGTTTAAAGGGACCTTGAGGGTCATCTAGTCCAACCCCCTGCAATGCAGCAAACTTTCGCCCAACATGAGTCTCGAACCCAAACCCTCTACCAAGTGGGATGTGGGTGGCGCTGTGGGTTAAACCACAGAGCCTAGGACTTGCTGATCAGAAGGTCAGCGGTTCAAATCCCCGCGACGGGGTGAGCTCCCGTTGCTCGGTCCCTGCTCCTGCCAACCTAGCAGTTCGAAAGCACATCAAAGTGCAAGTAGATAAATAGGTACCGCTCTGGCGGGAAGGTAAACGGCGTTTCCGTGCGCTGCTCTGGTTCGCCAGAAGCGGCTTAGTCATGCTGGCCACATGACCCAGAAGCTGTTCGCCGGCTCCCTCGGCCAATAAAGCGAGATGAGCGCCGCTATCCCAGAGTCGGCCATGACTGGACCTAATGGTCAGGGGTCCCTTTACCTTTACTCTACCAACTGAGCTATTCCATCTCATGGCAGAGGGATTATCCCGGTATCTTGAACAGCTTGGCTCTCATACTTTTACCGAAACTTTGTTCCTCTGTTCCTGAGGCGAGTCTGCCATAATAGTATATCATTTAAAATTTGGGAGTAGGTCTGGGAAGCTACAACCCTTAGCAGAATACATTTCATTGCCTTGCCATTCAAGTCCTGTAACAAACAGAAAAGAGGAGCGTTATTTGATTTTCACGTTGTCTGCAGCTAGTTTGCGAAATGTGGCTTGCCTGGTCTGTTCACCCTGCCGTGGTATAATGTTGGGTGTATCCTGTGTTTGGAGCTCCTAGTGCTTTCTGGTTCCTGACTTTTCTCACTTTCTGTGTGTTCTACATAGCTTAGTAAAAAAAATTATATATATATATATATGGTGAGAAAAGGGCTTGAAAAGTGGGGTGAAGAGCCTGTTTTCAGAATATTCAGTGTCAGCTCACACAAATCATGAAAAGCGTGCCTCCCGCTTGCACTGATTCCCTTGTTCCTGCCCATTCTGGAACGTTTCCCTCGGAAGCATCAGGAAATTCCACCGTGAAAGGCAGCCGATGTCACAGGGTTGCAAACCGTAAATTTCTTACTGGAATGGTGACTCAGTGAATGGCTTTTTTCTCGGACTGTTTGGCTGGTTGCCACCCCTGCTTTGAGTCAGGGAGGAATTCCCCCCTGTTCCCCAGCCAGGTGGGGAAGGGATGCAAGTCGCTCAGCGCTGTAGCATCTGTTTGGATGCAGAAATCCCAGGTTCGCAGCATCTCTGGGTTGGGCTGGGAAAGGCTCCCTGGAGGGCTGCTGCCAGTCAGAGTTAGAAGGATCAGCTGCCTATATTCCTAAGGTCATGTTGGCTAGTGACTTGGTGCATTGTCCCTCTGTAATGTGTGGCTTGACTTGCTTGCTCGAGCTTTTGCCCTGTAGGCACCCCTTGAGATTGCCTTTTTTTGCGCCGTGGATTGAGAAAAGCTTCCCTCCCTCTCTCCTAATACTCGTAAGCAAAGCTGAATGTTGGAAGATTCAGGACAGGCAGCGCACAGTTAAACTACGGAACTCCCTGCCACAAGGGTCAAAGATGGCCACCAACTTGGGTGGCTATAATAATAATAATAATAATAATAATAATAATAATAATAATAATAATTTATTTATACCTCGCCCATCTGGCTGGGCTTCCCCAGCCACTCTGGGCGGCTTCCAACAAAATATTAAAATACTGTAATACATCAAACATTAAAAGCTTCCCTAAACAGGACTGCCTCCAGATTTCTTCTAAAAGTCTGGTAGTTGTTGTTCTCTTTGACATCTGGTGGGAAGGCATTCCACAGGGCGGGTGCCACCACCGAGAAGGCCCTCTGCCTGGTTCCCTGTAACTTGGCTTCTCGCAGTGAGGGAACCGCCAGAAGGCCCTCGGAGCTGGACCTCAGTGTCCAGGCAGAACAATGGGGGTGGAGACGCTCCTATACTGGACTGAGGCCATTTAGGGCTTTCAAGGTCAGCACCAACACTTTGAATTGTGCTCGGAAACGTACTGGGAGCCAATGTAGGTCTTTCAAGACCGGTGTTATATGGTCTCGGCGTCTGCTCCCAGTCAACTAATCCAGTCTAGCTGCCGCATTCTGGATTAGTTGTAGTTTCCGGGTCACCTTCAAAGGTAGCCCCACATAGAGCGCATTGCAGTAGTCCAAGCGGGAGATAACCAGAGCATGCACCACTCTGGTGAGGCAGTCCGCAAGCAGATAGGGTCTCATCCTGCGTACCAGATGGAGCTGGTAGACAGCTGCCCTGGACACAGAATTGACCTGCTCCTCCATGGACAGCTGTGAGTCCAAAATGACTCCCAGGCTGCACACCTGGTCCTTCAGGGGCACAGTTACCCCATTCAGGACCAGGGAATCCTCCAACTCTTGAAGGAAGAGAGGGCTCTCGATGGCTACTGGCCATAACGGCTATGCTCTGCTGCCAAATTTGGAGGCAGCAATGCTTCTGAATATCTTACGCTCTTCTGCTCAAGTCCTGCTTGCAGAATTCCCACTGGGGCATCTGATAGGACACTGTGAGACCAGGATGCTGGACTAGATGGGACATTGGCCTGATCCAGAAGGCTCCTCTTATGTTCTTGCATTCACTTGGTTCTCTACAGGAGGTTGCAGTCTGGATGGCTAGCATCCATCTGTTGTGTGTGATGGGTCCGTCCGAAAATAGGATTCTTGGCTCAGTGTCTTTGCCGCTTCTTCAGATATTGCCCGGTGGGTATTGGACATCTGCAGCAGCTGGGATTGGTTCATAGGATCATAGAGTTAGAAGGGCCTTCTCTGTGGTGGCACCCGCCCTGTGGAACGCCCTCACATCAGATGTCAAGGAAAACAACTATCTGACTTTTAGAAGACATCAGAAGGCAATCCTGTATCAGGAAGTTTTTAATGTCTAATGCACAATTTTTAATGTGCTGTAAGATGCGGGTGGCACTGTGGGTTAAACCACAGAGCCTAGGACTTGCCAATCAGAAGGTCGGCGGTTCAAATCCCCGCGACGGGGTGAGCTCCCGTTGCTCGGTCCCTGCTCCTGCCAACCTAGCAGTTTGAAAGCACGTCAAAGTGCAAGTAGATAAATAAGTACCGCTCCGACAGGAAGGTAAACGGTGTTTCCGTGCACTGCTCTGGTTCGCCAGAAGCGGCTTAGTCATGCTGGCCACATGACCCGGAAGCTGTACGCCGGCTCCCTCGGCCTATAGAGCGAGATGAGCGCGCAACCCCAGGGTCGGTCACGACTGGACCTAATGGTCAGGGTTCCCTTTACCTTTACTAAGCCGCCCAGAGTGGCTGGAGAAACCCAGCCAGATGGACAGGGTATAAATAATAAAATTATTATTATTATTATTATTATTATTATTATTATTATTATTATTATTATTATTATTTAAAAGCCCTATACGGCCTAGGACCCTTGTACTTCTGCTTAAAAACCTCCAAGGAAGAAGAGTCCACCACCTCTGTTCCTCTGTCAAACAGCTCTTCCCGTCAGAAAATTCTTCCTGATGTTTAGTCGGAATCTCCTTTGTATGATTCCCCATCCTATAATGTACAGGTGCTTGCGGATTCTCTGTCTCGGGGGGGGGGGGACCTGACCTGCTCTCCTCCTAACCTGTCCCACTTTTGTTCCCCAGGGCTGAGAATTACTGGTGGCGGGGTCAGAACAAACGGACCCTGAAGGTGGGCCAGTTCCCGCGCAACACGGTGACCTCGGTGGCAGGGCTGTCCGCCCACGACATCAGCCAGCCCCTCAAAAACAGCTTCATCCACACGGGCCATGGAGACACCAACCCACAGCAGTGCTGGGGCTTCCCCGATAAGATTGACGAGTAAGAACTTTTGCTCTTTCTCCCCAGTTTCCTTCCCCACAGCTGTGCAGGGGATTCCCGGAAGGACCGGCCGTGGCCTCGTGGCTGTGGGGGACGTGGCTGGTCGCAAGGTTGCCTGCCCCATGAACTAATGCCAGTCTTTGGGGCTCCTCTGGAAAAGCATGCATGTGCCCACTCACAGCCGCTGGCCAAGGCTACCTGGCTCCTGTGCCAGTGGCTCAAGTCCCCTTTCGGTCAAGAAGTGGCCTGGGGAGCTGTTTCAGGGCAAGGGAGGGGCCACCAGTTATGGGCCTGATTAGGGCAGTTGGGGGGCTGCCCCACCAGGCTCAGACTGCCCTCACCCTTGCACCTCTGTGGCTTCTGTCTTGCGTCCAGTCCAGAGGGTAGCCCACACCGTCTGCTTGCTCCTCCTCAGTCTCTGTGGGGAGGAGGATGGGAGCAAAACTAGACTGGCTTGGCTGACCCTGTCGTTGGCTCTCTGGCGCCACCTGCTGCCAGGCTCCCAGGCTTCCACCCTACCAGTCCCAATGGACACTGTTTGCCACCGCTGGCAATGGAGCTTTCGGCTCAGGTGGACTCCTTCAGGGGCTTTGGTTCCTGCGAGCCACGTGGCGTGCAAGGACCAAGCTGTGGCCACAGCCCAAGCACTGCTCCCGTGGCAGCCATGCCCTGGTTGTGGATAAGTAGCACAGACCTTGTGGGACAGAAATTTGCAGCTGCATCAACTCATATTTGGTCCGCACCCCCCCCTCTCTGTAGAATTGTTGTCTTTCCAATGCAGATGTGCTCCAAATTTTGCCCACACTGTAAGGACGCCTTGCATTTTAAATCTTCAGAATGGCAATCCCGTGAGACCTGAATCCTAAATGTCAGTCCATTTTTTTAAAAAAAGAATTGTTTGTCCATACTAAAGATTCTGCTGCCTGAATGATACTCCCTCCCTCTAAAACAGCGGTTCTCAACCTGTGGGTCCTCCAGATGTTGTTGGACTACAACTCCCATCATCCCTGAGCTCTGGCCTTGCTAGCTAGGGGTGATGGGAGTTGTAGTTCAACAACATCTGGGGACCCTCAGGTTGAGAAAGGCAAACAACAACAACTGCACCCCCCCCCAAAAAAATGTGCTTCTAGATTCTCACATCCCCCCGCCCCTGAATTTAGATTTTGGCAATTTTATCGCCAGGAAATCCAGAACTTTTCATCGTTTCAGAATGTTCAGATTCCAGTTTGACATCTGAAAAGTCATGCTTGTTCGAACCCTGATCCTCTCCGATGGGTCATGAGCACCGTTGCCAGGGGCTTTGCAGATGTTGGGGGCCTGTGGTTTTTTGCTATGCGGCTTGTGCCTTTCAACAGTGTGACGCAGCAGCAAGAAAAAGCTGAATGCTGTTCTAGGCTGCATCAACAGAAGTCTAGTGTCCAGATCAAGGGAAGCAATAGTCCCACTCTATTCTGCCTTGGTCAGACCACGTCTGGGGTCCTGTGTCCAGTTCTGGCCACCACAATTTAAGAAGGATGTTGACAAGCTGGAAGGTGTGCAGAGGAGGGCGACCAAGATGATCAAGGGTCTGGAAACCAAGCCTTATGAGGGCGTTGGGTATGTTTAGCCTGGAGAAGGCTGAGATGTGATACGACCGTCATCTTCAAATATCACACGAAAGGTGGAACAAGCTTGTCTTCTCCTGCTCTGGCTTCAAGCTACAAGAAAGGTTTTGACTAAAACCAGTGGCTTCAAGCTACAAGAAAGGTTTTGACTAAAAATCAGGAAGAACTTTCTGACCGACCTGAGAATATACTATGACGCTGCATGTTTTAGGTGGATCAGAGACTGGATTACATTAGATAATAATGACATTCTAGACATGGAGGGATGGAGCGACAGATACGGCTGGCATGCCCACTCTACAATTCTGTGACTCTAAGCCATGAGTGTTGTGAGTTTGGCTTGGCATCGCCCTCTCTTAACCAACCGTCTGCCCTTAACCAAGGCAGGCAGCAGGCTTGTGTTGTGCCCGCTGCCAAGCCTCACACTTTGGGCTGGCATCTTTCCCGTGCATGAGCCTCCAGGTCCTTCCTGCAGCTCAGAGGCAAAGGATGGTAGGTCAGATCAGGAAGCGCACCTGCAAAACCCTGCCGTGCCCCATGTTTACGGTTGCACCCTCTCTTTCCGAGGAACTGTCTCTGAGCTTCGCGTCTGTGTTTCGTCATCTCTTGTGTGGGCGGCAGATGCAGCAGCGCGTTCAGGCTCTGCCAAGCCCGAGATGTTCCCACTGCAGCTGGCAAGGTGTACCAACACTGCCCTTGCCCTCTGCTGTACCAGCCACACCTTGCCTGGCCTTCCCTGCTCCCCACGGCGCTGGTTGGATCGAAACTGGGGTGCCCGGCAACACCCAAAGCTTGGGCTGGGCTTAACAGGACGACCCGTGGGGCAGGGCGGAGCAGGGTTTTTTAAGTGTCCAGGAACAAACTTGGGTTTAAGTGCAGCAGATTCAAACCGCCGCCCCCAGGTAGCTGTTCTTTTATTGGCCTGGCAGAAAACTTTGCTTTTCGCCCCTTGAGCCAGTTGTTTGAATTTCCCTCTAGGAAGGCTGCTTCTATGGACATCACAAGGAGATCTGTAAGCCTTCTGTCCTGGGCTGGCTCGATGTAGGGGAGCGGTGGGAGGCACCAGCCAGGGAACCCCCAAGGAAGACGGCTCAGAGCCTGGGGATTGGTGGCAGAATGATGACGAGTGGTCAGAGGGTAAAGAAGGAGCAGGCTGGGAGGTGTCAGGAGCAGGACAGTCAACAGGGTTTAGTGAGCAGGAAGAGGCGGTGGCAGAGGGCAGTGCAGACTCAGAGGCAGGAGAAGAGGGAGACAGAGTAGAGACAGGCTGCTGAAGAATCCAGGGAGTCTCCCCCTCCTGCTGCGACAAGCTCCCCTCCCTGCTGGTCTCCTAGGACCCCTGGAGAAATGAAATGGGCAGAGCAGTGGGTGTTTCTGGAGAGGAGTCCTAATGGGCACTGGGAAGGTGGGCACCTTCAATCCTTGCAATTGCTTCACCAGGATCTCCTAGAAAGAGTTGCTGAGACCTGAGCTGTGGTTTGTTTCCTAGAATAAAGATTTAGCTAACTTATTGTTTTGGCTGCTGACCTGCACCTGACGCCAGCCCTGGTGGCTTTGGGGGCACAGACCACTTGCATTTGTGTATTCCCTGCAGCTGATAATGCCTTAAGGGTCCAGAAGGGTTCAGCCACTTATTATTGAGGGGAAGTGCGTGGAACAGGTCTCGGTGTTTCGATTTCTGGGAATGGAGTTGAGAGATGACCTAACCTGGGGAGAAAACAGCAAAGACCCAATGAAGAGAGCACAGCAGAGGTCATATTTTCTGAGAATCCTCTGGAAAAACAATCTCTCAAAGGACCTGTTGATGGCATTTTACCATTGTACTGTGGAGAGTGTATTACCTTATGGTCTGTGTGTGTGGCTTGGGAGCTGCACGGTCAGGGGAAAAACAGTGCTGTCCAGGGTTGTAAAGACTGCGGAGAGAATAATTGGGTGCACTCTTCCCACCTTAGATCAAATCTATGCTTCCAGGTGTCATAAGAAAGCTCCAGAGATAGTGCAGGATAGTGCGCACCCCTGAAATGATCTCTTTCAGCTTCTGCCTTCTAGAAGAAGGTACAGAAGTTATAAAGACTAGGACTAGCCGCCAGAGAAACAGTTTCTATCCAAATGCAATTTTGGATTTAAACACAGTATAAGGAGTCTCTGTGGGAGTATATTGTATTTAATTACGGGGTATCAGAGTTTTTAGGGGGCTAACCAGGCTGGGATAGCTGGGATAGCAGGCTTGCTGGTTTTTGAATGCCTGATGTAGATTTTTTTCAATTTCGTTGTTCTGTATGGGACAATGACAATAAAGATTATTGTATCGTATCATAAGGGGAAGTTGTGGCAGTGAGACTGCATTTTTTATCAGCCCTGCAGCTCCCAAAGTGGGGCAGTACTGCCCCCTGGGGTGGGGTGGTGGGATTACCTAGGAGGTGTAAATGACCATCAGACTGTAAGAAACTGGTATCCCTGTCTCAAGTTCATAAGTTTTGTACATTTAATTCAACTAAATGGCTTTAGCTGGGTTTTGAATGAATGTGCAGCTAATTGTTTCTGTTTGGAATTTCGATGTGTTGTTGTCTTCCTTTGTGGGTCCTGTAAACTGCTATTCTGAATAATGCTTTTCATAGGGTAGGGGCCGCTGGGGATGTGTTTATGGAACTAACACGTCAGTAGCTCTAAAAAGGTCAGGTAAAGGTAAAGGGACCCCTGACCATTAGATCTAGCCGTGACCAACTCTGGGGTTGCCGCGCTCATCTCGCTTTACTGACCGAGGGAGCCGGCGTACAGCTTCCGGGTCATGGGGCCAGAATAGAATAGAATAGAATAGAATAGAATAGAATAGAATAGAATAGAATAGAATCATAGAGTTGGAATAGACCACAAGGGCCATCGAGTCCAACCCCCTGCCAAGCAGGAAACACCATCAGAGCACTCCTGACATATGGTTGTCAAGCCTCTGCTTAAAGACCTCCAAAGAAGGAGACTACACCACACTCCTTGGCAGCAAATTCCACTGTCGAACAGCTCTTACTGTCAGGAAGTTCTTCCTAATGTTTAGGTGGAATCTTCTTTCTTGTAGTTTGGATCCATTGCTCCATGTCCGCTTCTCTGGAGCAGCAGAAAACAACCTTTCTCCCTCCTCTATATGACATCCTTTTATATATTTGAACATGGCTATCATATCACCCCTTAACCTCCTCTTCTCCAGGCTAAACATGCCCAGCTCCCTTAGCCGTTCCTCATAAGGCATCGTTTCCAGGCCTTTGACCATTTTGGTTGCCCTCCTCTGGACACGTTCCAGTTTGTCAGTGTCCTTCTTGAACTGTGGTGCCCAGAACTGGACACAGTACTCCAGGTGAGGTCTGACCAGAGCAGAATACAGTGGCACTATTACTTCACTTGATCTAGATCCTATACTCCTATTGATGCAGCCCAGAATTGCATTGGCTTTTTTAGCTGCCGCGTCACACTGTTGGCATGACTAAGCCGCTTCTGGTAAACCAGAGCAGCGCACGGAAACGCCGTTTACCTTCCCACCGGAGTGGTATCTATTTATCTACTTGCACTTCATGCTTTTGAACTGCTAGGTTGGCAGGAGCAGGGACCGAGCAATGGGAGCTCACCCCGTCGCGGGGATTCGAACCACCGACCTTCCGATTGGCAAGCTCTAGGCTCTGTGGTTCAGGAGCCGCTGGTTTATATTCTTTTCTCCTTTCTGCCCTTCTCTGCAGGCTGTACCTGGGCAACCCTATGGACCCTCCCGATGTCCTAGGAGTCGACTTGAACGCAGCCCGGCCCACGCAGCTCCCCGGAAGAGCGAAAAGTAAGGAGGTCCCTGCACCCCCCAAACCCAATCCCTCACCTATCTTAACCCCCCCCCCGCCCCCTTGCCGGTGCTAGATCCTGCCCAGCTCAGCCTGAGCCCGGCATAGCTGCAGATATGGATTTGGATGAATGCACCGTAACTCGGAAGAACTACAAGACCCAGCATGCTTGTCTGTGTCATCGCTCCCTGCACTGCATGCTGGGTGTTGTAGTCTGTACGTGTGAAGGAAGCCTGGCTTGCTTGAATCTATTCTCCTTTGACACATGCTGATCCTGGAAGGTTTAGGAAGGTCTCGTGTTTCCAGGAGATCAAACGGTGGTGGTGTCCTCTAAGCTTTTACTGGCTTTGCAATGGCTTCTTGGCCTTCCAACGTTTCTCCTCTTTTTGTTTTTTTCTGGCTCCTCTGCTTCATAGATGCCAATTTCAGAAGGGGGTTGTTGTGGAAGCCTCTAGCAGTATGGGGAGAGGGGAGTTGCAAAATTATTAAATTATTAGACACTTGACTGCAGCAAGAATGTTTGCATCAGCCTTCACTTCCTGGGGGTCTTCCAGATAATTTTTTGCTATGAGTCGCATCAGTCCTCCAGCTAGTCATGGCGCTGGCTGACGCGTGTGGTCAGGCCCCAGGTTGGCCGAGGCCATAGCTGTCAACTTTTCCCTTTTTTAAAGGAAATTCCCTTATTCCAAATAGGATTCCTCGCAAGAAAAGGTAAAGGTTGACAGCTATGGCGAAGGCAGATCTGCATCAAAGTGTGTCATAGCGTTAGAGTGCTGAACTAAGACCTGGGAGATCCGGGTTCAAATCCCCACTCGGCCCCATGAGGCTCACCGGGTATGACGTTGGGGGCCAGTCACTGCCTTCTCTCAGCAACAACCTCGCAGCGTTGTTGTGAGCATAAAACGCGGAGTGGGGAAGAACCCTGCGTGCCACCTTGAGCTCCTTAGAGGGAAGGATGAAATAAACAATAACTAAACGTAATAAACAAATGCAAGAATGTAAGTGGGTAGTCTTAACCCCCTACGTTTAGAACCACTGACTATCTGTAGGCTAGAGTGCCAAAATGTGATGCAGTTCCTCTATTCAATGGGAAGGCATGGGAAATTTTGTTGATCTTGAAAATTTTGAAAAATCGGTTCTGTGATTCCTGCACGGCAGGGGTTGGACTAAATGTCCCTTGAAGTCCCTCCCAATTCTCTTAAATTCTGTGATTCTTTAACCAGATACTCTATTTTTCTACCCCAAAATGGGTGTCAATTGCAGTGACTTCTCTGCCTTAATGGGACAGCTTTGCACAACTTGGGCATTTCCGCAATATAACCAAACTTTCGCACCCCGTTCCTTCCCATCCAGTCCTTTGCAACGGCGCATACCTGGATTATTTTCTTACGTTTCCTCAGACTTCAGGGCGAATCCAGTTCGGCACCTGCAGCAACCGCCTCCTTCCTCCAATCACCTGGTGGCTTTAAGCCAGAGGAGGAGAACTAGTGGCTCTCCGGAGGTTGTCAGTCTCCATCTGCCATCATCCCTGACCAATGGCCACGCTGCCTGGCGCTGATGGGAGCCCCACAACATTTAGGCAGTGCTTCTCAAACGCGGGTCTCCAGCTGTTGTTGGACTACAACTCCCATCATCCCTAGCTAGCGGGACCGGTGGTCAGGGATGATGGGAGTTGTAGTCCGACAAGAGCTGGAGACCCAAGTTTGAGAAACACCAGGTTCAGAACGGCTTGCCTGCACTGTCCTTGCCTCTTCTCTAGCTGCTTCTTGCACACCCCCACCACCCCTCTGCCCCACGCATGATGCTCACTCTTTCTCTTCTGTGGGGTCTCTCTGTTTCTCTCTCTCTCTCTTTCTCCTGCAGGGGAGCCTCCACCTCGGCCACCTCAGCCCTCGATCCTCCTAAAGAGTAAGTGGGGGCGCTTCTCAGGCTGCCCTGCCCCCTGCGCCTGCTCTCTGCGCGCTCTCTTAGCTCCTCTCTTCACAGGTACCTGGGTGTGCATGTGTGTGTGTGTCCCGGTGTGAGCTGGGAGAGTCCCCCCCCCTGCATTCAACTACCCCTGCCTGGCTGCACACACAGAACTACCGGGGGCATGTGAGGGACTCCAGAGAGGTGCGCAAGCGAGGACACAGGAATACTTCTAGCTAGGGATGAGTCGGCAGTGTAGTGTGGCGCAGCAGCAAAGAAAGCTGATGTGATTCTAGGCTGCAACCGCAGAGGTCTAGTGCCAAGGGAAGCAATAAAGGGAAAAGGGAAAGGTACCCCTGAACGTTAGGTCCAGTTGCGGACGACTCTGGGGTTGCGCGCTCATCTCGCTCTATAGGCCGAGGTAGCCAGCATTTGTCTGCAGACAGCTTCCGGGTCATGTGGCCAGCATGACTAAACCGCTTCTAGCAAACCAGAGCAGCGCACGGAAACGCCGTTTACCTTCCCACCGGAGCGGTACCTATTTATCTACTTGCACTTTGATGTGCTTTCGAACTGCTATGTGGGCAGGAGCAGGGACCGAGCAACGGGAGCTTACCCTGTTGAGGGGATTCGAACTGCCAACCTTTTGATCGGCAAGCCCTAGGCTCTGTGGTTTGGACCACAGTGCCACCCGCATCCCTAAGGGTAGCAATAGTCCTGCTCTGTTCTGCCTTGGGTCAGGCCCCACCGGGAATACTGTGTCCAGTTCTGGGCAGCGCAATTTAAGAAGGATGTTGACAAGCTGGAAGGTGGGCAGAGGAGGGCAACCAAGATGACCAAGGGTCTGGAAACCAATCCTGATGAGGAACGGTTGAAGGAGCTGGGTAGGTTTAGCCTGGAGAAGCGGAGACTGAGAGGAGATGTAGCCATCTTCAGATATCTCAAAGGCTGTCACACGGAAAAGGGAGCAAGCTTGTTTTCTACATTGGCTCCCAGTACGTTTCCGAGTGCAATTCAAAGTGTTGGGGCTGACGTTTAAAGCCCTAAACGGCCTCGGCCCAGTATATCTGAAGGAGCGTCTCCACCGCCATCCTTCTACCTGGACACTGAGGTCCAGCTCCAAGGGCCTTCTGGCGGTTCCCTCACTGAGAGGGGCCAAGTTACAGGGAACCAGGCAGAGGGCCTTCTTGGTAGGGGCACCCGCCCTGTGGAACGCCCTCCCCCCAGATGTCAAAGAGATAAACAACTACCCAACTTTTAGAAGACATCTGAAGGCAGCTCAAAGGTCAGCACCAGCACTCTGAATTGTGCTCGGAAACCCACAAGCAGGATTCATGCACGAGAGCAACCCCTCCTGTGGTTTCCAGCAACTGGGATTCAGAAGCATTGCTGCCTCCGATTATGGAGGAAGAGCAGGGACATCATAGCCATTGATAGTCTTCTCCTCCAATAATTTGTCCAATCCTCTTTTAAAGCCTTCTGGGTTGTTGGGCACCACTGCCTTTGGCACCAGTGAGTTCCACAGTTTAACTTCCTTTCGTTTGACCTGAATTTTCCAACATCCAGCTTCTCGGGGTATCCACAAGTTCTAGTGTTATGAGAGGCGGTGGGGCTGGGAGTAACCACTGCCTGAAACCCCAGAGAACTGCTGCCAGTCAGTGTCGGCGATACACTGAGTTAGATGGATCCACTCCTGCGCACCAGAGCAGAAAGTGATGGGAGCTTAGCTTAAGATGGTTTCATGGATCCATGCCCAGTCGCTGGGGCCAAAGCATTCAAGTCCCTGCTTCCCTTTTGAGTTTAGGGGAGGAAAGCATGTCCCAAAGGGCGTGTGAATTACACTGAGCTGGGCTGCGTCCTTGCATCATGTACTAACCTTGTTACCTGGCAGAGGTAAGAACGGGGTGGGGTGGAGGGAGGTAGCTAGGGCAGGTGGGAGGATGCATGGCTGTGTGGAGTGTGCAGGGAGGAAGCAAGGGGGTTGCATTTCAGGGGGTTGGACTACATGGCCTTTGGGTCCCTTTCCAACCTTGCAATTCCATGGCTCTAAGAAGCATGTGTGTGTTCAGTGCATGGATGGTGGAGACAGCGACTAGTTCAGTCTTTGTGGCTCTGTATCATATTTTCAGGCGTTGGTGAAACAAAAGGGTAGAGGAAGGGTTGGGGGTTGATGAGCAGGGGCAGCAATGGGGCAGTCATCAAAGTGTTGAGAGTTGTATAGGATATTATGGAGGTGTCAAGCAACCTTTGCCAAACTGGTGCCCTCCAGCTGTGGGCATGGTACTCCAAAACATCTAGAGGGCATCCGCTTGGCAAAGACTCAACTAGAGGTTGCCAGGGTTATTGAGATGACCAGGGTTCCCCATAACCCAACCTTATGGGTTCTGAGTGGGGTCAGACGGTATAATGTCAGAAGGACGGGGACTCCTCTTCCTAGCTCAGATAGGCCATGGGCACCAGGGTGCCCTCTGCCCCCAGGACCTCACCCAGCCCCCTTTTCCCTTCCAGAGCCCTCGTACGATCCTGTGAGCGAAGAGGACAACCCGCTCTCCTTAGGCCTCAAGCACCTCTGTCTGAAGAAGCCCGGCACGGGGCGAGGTCTGCGCCCGGCCAAGCCATCGGCCCGCATCTCCGGCACCAAAGTGGGCGAGAGGCTCCTACTGCCCCGGACCAAGGGAGGCGCTCTGCCCGGCAGCGAGGTAACGCTGATTGACTTCGGGGACGAACCCATCCCCACCACCCCCTCGCCCGTCGGGGAGCTCTGCGCCCCCTCTCTGGCGAAGCTGGCCATGGAAGCCTTCTCCCTCTTGGACAAGACACCCCCTCAGAGCCCCACGCAAGCTCTGCCCCGGCCCCTCCACCCGACGCCCATCGTGGACTGGGACGCCCGGCCCCTCCCTCCGCCCCCCGCGTACGACGACGTAGCGCAAGACGAAGACGACTTCGAGGTGTGCTCCATCAACAGTGCAGAAGGGCTGGGGGGTGGCCGGGGCAGCTGCAAAAACTGGGAGAAGGGGAAGACTGGGGATGGCTTTGGGTCCAAGGAAGACCCCACGGCTCTCCCGCTGGAAGACAACCTCTTCCTGCCCCCCAAGGAGGTCAAGCAGCCTAGCCCTGCCCAGACGACGGAGCTCTTCCAAGAACTCCAGCAGGAATGCATGAAGCACCTCAACGTGCCCTTGGGATCTTCCTCTGTGGCCTCCACGCCCAGCCCAGGGGAGGACAAGCCCCAGATCCCGCCTCGTGTCCCCATCCTGCCCCGACCGATCCGCCGGAACGAGCACGGGCGTTGGTCCGGGGAGCTGTCGCCGGCCTCGGCGGGCGAGGAGGACCGGCCTCCCCAGATCCCGCCGCGAGAACCGTTGTCCCAGCCTGGCTCCAGAACTCCCAGCCCCATGGCTCTGCAAGGGGGGTCCCCGCAGCCAAGGACCAACCTGTGCTCCCCGTTGTCCCTGGGGGCCTTCCTGTCCACATCACCCGGCAAGCAGCCCATGCCCACCACCCAGAGCTTTGCCCTGGACCCCAAGTACGCCACCCCTAAAGTGATCCAAGCGCAAGGGAAGGAGAGCGCCAAGGGGCCTTGCATCTTGCCCATCGTCAAGGATGGCCGGAAGGTCAGCAACACCCACTACTACCTCCTCCCCGAGCGCCCGCCCTACCTGGACAAGTACGAGAAGTTCTTCAAGGAGGCCAAGAACCCCGAGGAAGCCCCGCCTCCGGCCAGGGTGGTCACCACGGCCACCGTCCGACCCATGGTCCAGCAGCAGCCTGACTACAAAGCCAACTTCTCCTCCAACAACAGCAACGTCCCCTTCAAGGCTTCCTGCGGCCTTCAGAAGATCATCTACGACAGCTCCGATAGCCCCAGGCCCTCAGAGAAAATACGGCTGGTGAGTGGTTCCCTTGGGTTGGGGTAAGAGCTCCCTGTGTCGGCGGGCATGCTTCGAAACCTAGCTTGCCGTCCAAAAACGTGACTTGTCGCTTTGTCTGGGTGGACCATGTGCTAAAAGTAGACCCCCAAATTTTGTGCCAAGGTCCTCCAATGGACTCCTGCGGCAACAAGGGTGCGCGATCTCAGGCCCATGGGCCAAAACGTGGCCCTCCGAGATTATCTGACCCTTTTGGAACCCTCCCCAGGCCCCACACCTCCTTGCCCTCCAGGAGAGCTTTTTCCTGGCTAGATTGTGTCCCTAAATGGCAATAATACCTAATGGTTGCCTGGGTGAAGGGACAGCTGTGGGCATAAACCTCTGGCTCTTTTTGGTTTGCTGGAATGTCGCCAGGTGTCCAGCGGTAGGAGTCGTATTGGTTGCTCTGCCCACATTCCACCACTGGACCCACACCCACCCTACGGCATCACTAGTTATAATAATTTATAATAATAATAATTTATGATTTATACCCCGCCCATCTAGCTGGGCTTCCCCAGCCACTCTGGGCGGCTTCCAACACAATATTAAAACACAGTAATGCCTCAAACATTAAAAGCTTCTCTAAACAGGGCTGCCTTCAGATGTTGTCTAAAAGTCTGGTAGTTGTTGACATCTGATGGGAGGGCGTTCCGCAGGGCGGGTGCCACTACCGAGAAGGCCCTCTGCCTGGTTCCCTGTAACTTGGCTTCTCGCAGTGAGGGAACCGCCAGAAGGCCCTCGGCGCTGGACCTCAGTGTCCGGGTAGAATGATGGGGGTGGAGAAGCTCCTTCAGATATAGTTATTGTGCTCCTCCTTTTCCAAACTGCCCTTCGTCAGTTCTGTCCCCACGGTGTGACTGGGGGTCACCATTTGGTGATCTGAAAGGCCCGAGAGCCATTGCACTGTGCTGGATGGGCCAATGTTCTGATTCAACTTCATGTGTACAAACCTGACTCAAATCTCCCCACTAGCCCTCATGGAGCATTCGCATGCGCTCCCTACTCCCCCAACCAGTCCTCCAAACTCCGGCAGGACCCGGAAGGGCGAGAGACAGGCACGCAACTGGGGTTTTCAAAACACAGATTCAAGCAGTAGTTGCTGCCACCACTTCCTTATCCCAGAACAGCCCCCGAAAAGTAACCCAAGGAAGGGAATTACTCTTCAGTTTTTTCCGGACTGCCCCACTCTATGTCACTTTACTGTGACACAGACAGAAATCCAACAGGTGCTCTGGGAGGCGACTAAGTGGATTAGGCATTGGTTCAGCTTCCCCGACAGAAAGGCACAAAATACAAAGGCAGGAAAAAATCCTTTTCCCAAATTTATTAAAGAGAAAGGTTATTCAGAACATAAAAGTTGGCACATCTCTTACAAATCATAGGATGCTTGGCAAGATGATCTGTTGCAATTTGCATCTTAGTTTCTTCAGGTTTTATCCTTCTTGAACCCACGTGGATTCAAACTTAGAAACCAATCAGTTCTTTGGATTAATTAGCAATTTGCTTACATGGAGGAACAATAATTCAGGCTTGTTAGGAGGCTTGACAGCTGAACTCTGTTTATTCAAAAGGGTCTTGAAGATGAAAGCATTCCCAGAGACACATTCCCAGAAATTCACTCTGAATCTACGTCTCAGATACCCAGGTGTCAAGACCACAAATCAGCTAGAAACTTTCTTCCTTCTAAGGGTGAAAGATAACCCCGTTCACACTTTTAAAGTCAAAAGTCTGCAATTAAGACCCAAATACACATTCCCAACATTCTACAGTCTTTGTCTCTCCCAGCATGCTCCTCTTCTACTTCAACCAAAGTTTTTAAACTACTGAGATTTCCCAATATCACTACACCTCATTTTTTGTGTTTAGGTTCTCTGGTCAGGACTGGGAGAGGGCTGCCGCTCAGGGTCAGGGCATTTGATTTCCAAGCAGAGAACTGGGAAGGCCCCCTGCAGAGCTGCTGTCAGTACTTGGTGACCGTAATCATCTAGATCAGTGGTTTTCAACCAGTGTGTATAGCATCTAGATCAAGGGAAGTAATAGTGCCACTGTATTCTGCTCTGGTCAGACCTCACCTGGAGTACTGTGTCCAGTTCTGGGCACCACAGTTCAAGAAGGACACTGACAAACTGGAACGTGTCCAGAGGAGGGCAACCAAAATGGTCAAAGGCCTGGAAACGATGCCTTATGAGGAACGGCTAAGGGAGCTGGGCATGTTTAGCCTGGAGAAGAGGAGGTTAAGGGGTGATATGATAGCCATGTTCAAATATATAAAAGGATGTCACATAGAGGAGGGAGAAAGGTTGTTTTCTGCTGCTCCAGAGAAGCGGACACGGAGCAATGGATCCAAACTACAAGAAAGAAGATTCCGCCTAAACATTAGGAAGAACTTCCTGACAGTAAGAGCTGTTCGACAGTGGAATTTGCTGCCAAGGAGTGTGGTGGAGTCTCCTTCTTTGGAGGTCTTTAAGCAGAGGCTTGACAACCATATGTCAGGAGTGCTCTGATGGTGTTTCCTGCTTGGCAGGGGGTTGGACTCGATGGCCCTTGTGGTCTCTTCCAACTCTATGATTCTATGATTCAGTGTGCCGTGGCACCCTGGGGTGCCTTGAATGATGGTCAGGGGTGCCGTGGGCAACACTGGCCTCTGTCCCTCTTTCCTTCCCTCCTTCCTCTGATGCCCTCTTGAATCTCTGCCTCCCAAAGGCTTGCACAGCTGTTCATTGCAGCAGCGCTGGCTACAAGCTCCCCAGGCGAATGGTGCCTCTGACGCTGGCCAGAGGGTGCTGGTTGCCAGGAGCTGAGGCGGCCTAGGAGTAAGCAAGCATGCGGGTGAGGAAACCCAGCCAACCAGTGTCACGGTCCAGCCTACGGGCGATCAAAGTCCCGGCTGAGGACATCAGGACCGGGGGCAAGATGGCGGGGTGGGAGCAGGAACGAGGGTCCAGAAGCCAGGGGTCTGAGGGTCAGGAAGCAGGGAGTCACGAAGTCAAGGGTCCGAGGATCAGGAAGCAAGAAGCCTTCCCAGCTCTAGCCACCAGGTGCAGTGAGTTACCAAGCGGCCACACCTGTGCGGCCGCACCTTGCCTCTCCAGAACAAACTTAGGAAGGCCCCAGTCCTGCGAAGCCCTACTGGTCAGAGGGCCCGGCTCCTGCACACACTCCTGACAGCCAGTCTACCAGCCCTTGCTGTTGGGAATGGACAGTCAAGCCCTAGGCCCCTGTGGGGCAGTGTGAGGAATCACCTCTCTTTGGGGTGGGGTGGGGCAGCTCAGAGACCAGGGATGGCGGCAGAGGCTACCTTGATGACTCCCAAGGTGAGGGGAGAGGAGAGGAGGCTGAGGGAGGGTGTTCGAAAAAGTTTGAGAGGCTGCCTGCAGGCAAGGGGAACATTACTGAGCTCCTGAGCCCCACAGGGGAGCTGAAGAAAGAAGGTAGTTGGTCAAGGGAGCCGTGGACCCCAAAAGGTTGAAAACCTCTGAGCTAGATGGACCAAAACTAGTTCAGGCTGAGTTTCTGTTTCTAAAAACGGGTGGGAGTTTTAAACTGAGTTCTTATTACGGTTTTGTTTCTCTGCGCTGCATTTACGTAAGGGGGTCCGAATTCTGCGCAGAGAAGTAAATAATAATAATAATAATAATAATAATAATAATAATAATAATAAACCATTCTCTTGCTACATTTGTGCTTTTCGCTGCAGGTCCAAGAGACGGTTCACGGCGTCACCACAGAGGAGTGCCACACGGCACTGCAAAACCACAGCTGGAACGTGCAGAAGGCCATTCAGTACCTGAAGGTAAACGGCAGCCAGGGAGGTGCGGGTGGGGAGGGCCGTGGCTCAGCCGTAGGGCATCCTCTCTGCATGCAATAGGCCTCAAGCCGGGAGAGAGGCCCCTTGCCTGAAATCCTGGAGAACCGCGGCTGGTTGGTGGAGACGGAGGGAGGAATAGTCTGGGTACAAGACCGCTTCCTGTGTTCCTTGCCATCCCAATATTGCAAGATGGGAAGGAGCTCTTCCATCCAAATAATAATAATAATAATAATAATAATAATAATAATAATAATTTATTTATACCCCGCCCATCTGGCTGGGCTTCCCCAGCCACTCTGGGTGGCTTCCCAAAAAATATTGCAATACTATAATACATCAAACATTAAAAGCTTCCCTAAACAGGGCTGCCTTCAGATGTTTTCTAAAAGTCTGGTAGTTGTTCTCTTTGACATCTGGTGGGAGGGCGTTCCACAGGGCGGGTGCCACTACCGAGAAGGCCCTCTGCCTAGTTCCCTGTAACTTGGCTTCTCGCAATGAGGGAACAGCCAGAAGGCCCTCGGTGCTGGACATCAGTGTCCTGATAGAACGATGGGGGTGGAGACGCTCCTTCAGATATACTGGATTGTGGCAATTAGGGCTTTAAAGGTCAACACCAACACTTTGAATTGTGCTCAGAAACGTACTGGGAGCCAATGTAGGTCTTTCAAGACTGGTGTTATGTGGTCTCTGCGGCCGCTCCCAGTCACCAGTCTAGCTGCCGCGTTCTGGATTAGTTGCAGTTTCTGGGTCACCTTCAAAGGTAGCCTCATGTAGAGCACATTGCAGTAGTCCAAGCGGAAGAAAACCAGAGCATGCACCACTCTGGCGAGACAGTCTGCGGGCAGGTAGGGTCTCAGCCTGTGTACCAGATGGAGCTGGTAGACAGCTGCCCTGGACACAGACTTGACCTGCACCTCCATGGACAGCTGTGAGTCCAAAATGTCTCCCAGGCTGCGCACCTGGTCCCATTCAGGACCAGGGAATCCAGGGAATCCTCCACACCTGCCCGACTCCTGTCCCCCATGAACAGTACTTCTGTCTTGTCTGGATTAAACCTCAATCTGTTAGCCGCCATCCAACCTCCAATACTACCAGGACAATGTCTCCTTGCTGCACTGGGCTCACTGAGCCCCCTCCGCTGGCCGGGCTGGGCACAGCCCCATGATGGGAGCCCATCACCGTGAGTCTGCTGCTCTGAGCCTTACCTGCCTGCCTCCCCCCAGCTCAGCCTTGTGCCCTGTCCTTCCCCACAGGTGGAGCAGCTCTTCTGCCTGGGCCTCAAGACACGGCTGGAGTGCCACAAGGTCCTGGAGATGTTCGACTGGAACCTGGAGCAGGCCAGCTCTCACTTGCTGGATCCCTACAGCGCCTTCCGGCTCAAGTAAGAGCAGGACAACGCTTTGTGCCATGGCTGTGGACTGATTTCTCGGTGGCTGCCTGCTCCGTGGGGCAGAGAAGCCAGGGTGGCCTCAGTAGATCACCTAGAGCAGAGGTGGTGGGGCAGGGGACCTTTTTTCATCCTGGGGCCGTGGGCCAGCACAAAAGTGGGTGGGGAAGTAGACCTAAATGCTGACCTTAGCAGCCCAAATGCTACCCTACATTTCCATCCATTCGTTTTATTATATTTCCACGCGGCTTTTCACTCACACGAGTAAAAAAAGGGGCTAACAAACAAAAAATACCAACAACACGACAGAACATCCCCATGACAACATAAACCATATGGAATAATTAACAGATCACCAACAAAACCATGACAAACCATCAGTAAAGCAAACCACCTTCTATAAAACGCTATTAACGAAACAACTAAAAAATTGAGCTAAACAGCACAACAAAAGTCAGGTTAAGGAATTGCAAAGCATTGCAGCACTCATAATGCACAAAATAGGATTAATGACATTAACAAATTACCAAAAACAAGCTAAGCACTGTTGAAGTCACACACATACACTCTCTCCAACCCCATGACTACTACTACTACTACTACTTATTATTATTATTATTATTATTATTATTATTATTATTATTATTATTTCAATTTATACTGTATTATATACCACCCTTTATCAAAAGATATCAGGGCAGTGTACAACATTAGAAACCCATTAGGGGGTTGGACTAGATGATGTTTGGGGTCCCCTCCAACCCTCCAATTCTCTGATTACAAAACACCAATGACAAAAACATAATAAAGGCATAGTAAAAAGCATACTGGAAGACAGCCTAATCTTACACTCTGTTCAGCAAAAGACTGAGGCACATAATACCCGTACCAGAAACTCCATCCTGAAGCCAAGGCAGGTGAAAAAGGCTGTTGCTGGTGGTGGGGAAAAGTCTTTGGCTGATGCTCAGGTGCAGTATCACATGGAGAGAGAGGATTCAATATGGACAGCTACCGTATTTTTTGCTCTATAAGACGCACCAGACCATAAGACACACCTAGTTTGGAAGAGGAAAACAGGGGGGGGGGATTTTGAATCCCAGAAACCAGGAAAGCAAGCGGGATCACTGAGCAGCGATCCCGATAGCTGTCCTGGCTTATGGGATAGCCGCGCGCAGCCTCTCCCGGGCAAGGGGAGCCTTTATCCGGGAGAGGCTGCTCCCCCAAGAGCCGTGCTCCCTTTAAAGAGTGCGCGGAGTGTGTGTGTGGCTCTTGGGGGCTTTTCCCCCAAGGGAGCGCTGAGCAGAGCCTCCCACCTGCATTCGCTCCATAAGACGCACACACATTTCCCCTGACTTTTTTGGAGGGGGAAAGTGTGTCTTATAGAGCGAAAAATACGGTATCTCTCTCTGTCTCTTTCATTTTGGGGAAGGGTTGGGGGACTCTCTGCTTCCTCAGAGGCCCACTCCACATTTACTGAATTCTTGCTGTCGTCGTCCACTTACTGAATCTTTGCCCTTGCAGGCGGTGAGCTGCAGGAGTACCCCAAAACAGGAGTGGTTGACCCGACGTGGGTTCCCGTGGTTGGTGCTGCTCTGAGCAGCCCTTTCTGAGGAGGTGTACGGACCGAGTCTAAGTTGCCCCGAGGCAGAGGACAGCAGAGCAGAGGCACACAAGACTGTAGCTTGGTCCCGCTGGGCCAAACCCACACGCGTTCCCCTCGCACCAGAGACCGGGCCGCTGACCCTTCCCCCTCCGCCGACCCCAGGCGGCTTCGTGTTTGCTTGTCGTCGTCGTCCCCGTCCCCCCGCTTCCGGCCATTATTTCCATTGCTTCGTGTCGGATTTATTTTGTAAAGAGAAGTGTTACATTAATATATAAATATACTATTCTATTTTGGAGAGAAAGGAGTGGCGGTCAAATGGCAATTCATGTCCGTGGGCGAATGGGGCGGGCAGGGGGGTGGAGAGTGTTTGGGCGAGGACTTCGTGGAAACTGGTCGCGTTGGAGTCCAGTAGGAGAAGGTGCAAGCCTAAGAATTCTGAAGGTTTCTCTTCCTGGAAATGGAAGCATCCCTTTTTTCACACAGCTGCCAGCCCTCAATAGCTAGTATAAGGTAAAGGGACCCCTGACCATTAGGTCCAGTCGTGGCTGACTCTGAGGTTGCGGCGTTCATCTCGCTTTATTGGCCGAGGGAGCTGGCGTACAGCTTCCGGGTCATGTGGCCAGCATGACTAAGCTGCTTCTGGCGAACCAGAGCGGTTCACGGAAACACCGTTTACCTTCCCACCGGAGTGGTACCTATTTATCTACTTGCACTTTGATGTGCTTTTGAACTGCTAGGTTGGCAGAAGCTGGGACCAAGCAATGGGAGCTCACCCTGTTGCGTGGATTCGAACCACCGACCTTCTGATCGGCAAGTCCTAGGCTCTGTGGTTTAACCCACAGTGCCACCCGCGTCCAATAGCTAGTATAGTTATACTGTATTAGGCATAGCAAACCACACATTATCAAACAGACACCGTATACACATTGTGCAAAATACAAGCTCAACATAACAAGGTTTGTCCCAGTCAGATCTTTAACTCCAGAGAAAATCAGTTTTCATAAATAATACAATACAGCACTACCGAATCCCCAATCAATTAAGAACCACTAATTCTCTTTATAATGACCCAGTCTTTCTACATGGACAGCACTCAAAACTTCAGCTACTATTAAAGTAATTTGATCATTCCTGTCTGAAAGCAGGTCCTGAACAGTTGGTAGCATAGAAATCAGCCTATTGAGTTGTAAGGCCTCTAATAATTGTGTTCTGGCATAAATGCCAAAATCACAAGAAACGAAAATATGTTCCAAAGTATCAAGTTCCTGTTTACTACATTTGCAGAGACGATCTGATTCTGGGAGAGCTAAAGATCTTCCTCTCACTATCATTGAGGGAAACATATTAAATCTGGCTAAATAGCCTGCACAATTCATGATTCTTCAGATTTGTCATGTATCCCTTTTGAAAATCTCTACACAAAGGGAGATTTAAATAGAGGGGAGATCAAGCTGCTGTGCTTTGCAACCTTGAGAATAGAGAGAACACTTTTTTCTGTAAGATTCTTCCTGATAATTTCCCAAGTATCTTTGGAGTCAGAATTTCCAAAGTCAGATTAAGCCCTACCAAGTTCAATTTTCTCCTACAAACCAATGATAAATTGTAAATTACATTATCACTTAAGAGGTTGTAAAGGAGAGAATTAGGAGATAGGTAAAGGTAAAGGGACCCCTGACCATTAGGTCCAGTCGTGAACGACTCTGGGGTTGCGACGCTCATCTCGCTTTACTGGCCGAGGAAGCCGGTGTACAGCTTCCGGGTCATGTGGCCAGCATGACTAATTCGCTTCTGGCGAACCAGAGCAGCGCACGGAAACGCCGTTTACCTTCCTGCCAGAGCAGTACCTATTTATCTACTTGCACTTTGACGTGCTTTCAAACTGCTAGGTTGGCAGGAGCAGGGACTGAGCAAAAGGAGCTCACCCTGTCGCGGGGATTCGAACCGCCGACCTTCTGATCAGCAATACAACTTAAAAACAAAATTAAAATACATTAAAGTATTGAAACATTAAAATATTAAAATGTAGCCTCATCACAGGAGGAGAAAGGAAAAGAAAAAAGAAAGAGGGGGAGGGAATCAAATTGGCTCCAAGCCAAAGGCCAGGCGGAACAACTCTGTCTTACAGGCCCTGCGGAAAGAAATCAGATCCCACAGGCCCTGGTCTCATGAGACAGAGCGTTCCACCAAGCCGGAGCCAGTGTTGAAAAGGCCCTGGCTGTGGTTGAAGCTAATCTAACTTCCTTAGGGCCCGGGACCACTAGGGTGTTGCTATTTATGGACCTTGAGGCTCTCCGTGGGGCATACCAGGAGAGGCGGTCCCGTAGGTACGAGGGTCCTAGGCCATGAAGGGCTTTAAAGGTCAAAACCAGCACCTTAAATCTGACCCTGTACTCCACCGGGAGCCAGTGCAGCTTGAAAAGTGCTGGGTGAATATGCTCCCATGGCAAAGACCGCGTGAGGAGCCTCGCCGCAGCATTCTGCACCCGCTGGAGTTTCTAGGACAGCTTCAAGGGCAGCCCCGCGTAGAGCGAATTACAGTAGTCAAGCCTGGAGGTGACCGTCGCATGGATCACTGTGGCCAGGTCGGGGCGGGAAAGGTAAGGGACCAACTGCTTGATGCGGCGAAGGTGGAAAAATGTTGCCTTGGCTGTTGCTGTAACCTGCGCCTCCATGGAAAGGGGAGGCATCAAGGATTACACCCAAACTCTTAACGGAAGGCAATGGCACTAATTGGGCCCCCGCAAGAGAAGGGAGTTGGTCCCTCATCCCAATGCCATCCCGACCTAGCCATAGGACCTCTGTCTTCGAAGGATTTAGTTTCAATCGGCTCCCACGAAACCATCCAGCCAACAGCTTCCAAGCATCTGGTCAGTGTGTCCGGGGCCGAGTCGGTGTGGCCATCCATCAGCAGATAGAGCTGAGTGTCATCAGCATATTGGTGACAGCCCAGCCCAAAGCTCCAGATAATCTGGGCAAGGGGGCGCATAAAGATGTTAAAAAGCATCGGGGAGAGGATTGCGCCCTCCGGCACTCCACACACCAAAGAGTGGCGCAACGACAAATAAGGTTCCATTAAAATTGGTGCGTTGTTTCTTCACTGTTTTATATCTGCACCAGTAACTTTTCATAATTTGAACCTCCATGAAGCTCTCCAGAGGCAAGACCAGCTTGGAGGGAAACGTCCGTTGGAGCAAAGCATTCCATTGTCGTTTCTCATTGGTTGCCCCGGCCATTTCCCTGCCCATTATGACATCAATAACTGCCATGGGCACTTGATCTCAACCGCCACCTTGTCTGGTTCAGTTGCTGGCAGTCCTTGGCTCAAGTCAGTAATGTCCAGACCACATCTTCAGTTGCGTTGACCACCAAACCTTTCTACACTCATTTTCCTTTCATCTGTTGGCTTACTATGGATTTGAAACAGTGAGACTTTTAAGGGTGGAAAACACCTCTTTAGCCACTGTCCCAGGTTGGCAGCAAAATCATTCCCTCTTATTTGCTCAGCAGATAGGATGCAATCATTTTTTCCCCTCCTTTTGTTTTCCATTCTTTTCAAAAGATGCAAGATTGTGGGCAGAACACTTACTGGGCTAGGGCGGTCTCTTGCAAAATGATTCATTATTTACACAGCTCCATTAGTGTTCGCTGTGTGTTGCATTGTATCATATTGTTATACTCCACCCCAATTTCTGAGAGAGATTTCAGGGTTTCCAATCTGCATATAAGGTCATATTCCTTCAAATTACATCATTGGAGGTTTGTGCTTTTTTGATATATGGTATTATTTGCCCAGATCTACGGGCTGAGCATAATTTAACTCCAAGAGATGTCCCAAAGTTTACATATTTCAATAATTTCTATATCATTTCATAATTCCCTCTAAGCAGTTTACAGATTAAACAGAACATTACGAAATACAACATTACAAAAGAAGATCAAATATAGAATACAATAAATATCCTAGTTTAAATAAGTATAATTAACAGGAAGACAATATATTTGTGTAAACATAACTTGGGGAGAAACATTCCAAATAAAAAACACATACAGATACAGATCCAAAACTCAGTCTCTCTTGATCGCTGATTTTGTGTGTCCAAAATCTTCTAGACAACTTTCTAGGGGCCACTTATGAGCTGTATGTGTTGCAGGATTTCAATAGGATGCTCTATTGGGAATCTCAGGTGAGCTCCACACGCAATGGAAGTTGCTCCCAGTACCAGTCACCACACAGAAATGGCTTAAGGTCCGAATAATTTACTATTGCAGAAGATAAGGCTCACTAAAAGAGTTCTGGACATAGATAGACGCAGCTTGTAGGCTATTGCAGATACAGATATGTACAGATATATACAAGTGCAAAGCATCTCTGTTGCTCCAAATAAACTCCACCAATTCAAGGATGTAACACTGGACAAGTAACACCAACAGACTGATGTCTCACATACTAACTGCAAGCTAACAGATAACTGAGCCGACACGCATTAATCACAGATACAGTTGTGGCACTGGGTGAATGCCCAGTGCCTGGGCTTGCTAGCATACATGAGCCAATATCAACATTCCCCCAGCAGCGCTTCCTGCTAAACGAATCGGAGAATGTTTTGGACACAGTCGTTGCAAGAGCTTAGCAGCTGGGAAGACTCAGTGTCGGCGCCCAAAAATGCAGGTAAGCTCCTCTCGCTGATGACCAGTCATAGGGTGCTTCCAGAGGTGGAGATCTTCCTTCACAGCTGGAGGCAGCAATGCTTCTGAATACCAGTTGCTGGAAGCCGCAAGAGAGGAGAGGGCGCTTGCATTCAATTCCTGCTTGAGGGTTTCCTGTTGGTGCATCATGTCCTCATTCTTCAGAAAAGGAAGCATGTTTATGAAAATGCTCTTGAGTCTGCTGCCTGGAGAATAAAGGTAAAGGTAAAGGGACCCCTGAACATTAGGTCCAGTCGTGGCCGACTCTGGGGTTGCGGCGCTCATCTAGCTTTATTGGCCGAGGGAGCTGGCGTACAGCTCCCGGGTCATGTGGCCAGCATGACTAAGCCGCTTCTGGCGAACCAGAGCAGCGCACAGAAATGCCGTTTACGTTCCCGCTGGAGTGGTACCTATTTATCTACTTGCACTTTGACGTGCTTTCGAACTGCTAGGTGGGCAGGAGCAGGGACCAAGCAACGGGAGCTCATCCCGTCACAGGGATTCGAACCGCCAACCTTCTGATCGGCAAGCCCTAGGCTCTGTGGTTTAACCCACAGCGCCACCTGTGTTTAACCTGGTTTAACCTGGAGAATAGGTTTGTCTTAATTGCCAGCACAAATCACAGCTTTGCACATGGAGGCTTCCACTACGTCGGCGTGCAGAACCTCCAGCCTGCCAGAGGTCCATTTTGTCTCATCGGGCCATTTTCCCCAGACCAGTACACCTGCCCTTCAGCTGACAAGACTGGTGGCAGCACAGGTGGGAGGATAAGGTTTAGTTCTGTCTCTGGACAGCTCAGCTGCTTAGAGCGTGGTGCTGATGATACCAAGGTCTCAGGTTCAATCCCCACATGAGGCAGCTGCATACTCCTTTAGACCAGGGGTAGGCAACCTAAGGCCTGGGGGCCGGATTGCGGCCCAATCGCTTTCTCAATCCGGCCCATGGACGGTCCGGGAATCAGCGTGTTTTTATATGAGTAGAATGCGTGCTTTTATTTAAAATGCATCTCTGGGTTATTTGTGGGGCATAGGAATTCGTTCATTTTTTTTTCAAAATATAGTCCGGCCCCCCACATTGTTCGAGGGTGGACCAACCCACGGCTGAAAAAGGTTGCTGACCCCTGCTTTAGACGTTTGCTGAAAACTTGTCTGTTGTTTAATTGTGTTTCATTGCTTTTAGTTGAGTTTAGCAGTTTTTTGTTTTGTTTATATATATTTTTTTATAATGAAGGTTTTTTTGTTTTTGCTCCTTTGGGCTCTTCTGGGAGGAAAGGAGCAGTATTTACTTATTAAATTAATAAATCTGTTTCAGATTCACCAAGCTCAGACTCCTCCCAGACAACATTTAGTTCTGGAGCTTCTGAGGGAGACATGAGGGCTGCCATGCGCTTCATGCGCCAGTTTCTCCGCAAAAGCCACCAGGTATCTGCACCCCAACCCTGCCCTCGCTTTCCCTGCTACAACATGAGTTCCTTAAAAATGGAACTTCTCCCTCCAGTCACATAATTCAGGAATACTTTGAATTGGGCTCGAACCCAGCAAAGTAGGCATGGCACTGGAGTAAAACATTCCCTGCGGAACGCCCCCAGAAGAGTCGTAGTTTCCAAATCTTTCCGGGGGCAGCCCCGCAGAGAGCATGTTGCGGTAGTCAAGATGGCTTGCCGCTTTTGCTAATCCTTCTTGAACTCATCTTCCTGTCCTTGGTTGGGGAGGCTAGGAATTACCTGAGAAGGTCAAGTTCCTGGACTGCATAGACCACATCAGCGCAAACCTTGACAGCAGTAAGGTGGGCTACGTTGGTCAACGTCACTACAACCCGGCCCTGATAAGGGAAACTCTCCTGGTGAGTAAGCCGACCCATGTACATGTGAGTGCGGACAATGAAAATAGCCCTAAAAAACTCCTCCTAACGGAGCCCAAGGAAAGATTAGCACTAGAAGTGTTGTATAGTGGGAAAGATGGGCAACAGACACAGCTCTTTTAAGCAACAGCTCTTTATTACAGCACCTAGCACTACTCTAAGTCTCTCTGAACAGTGAAGCTGGCTGCCTTACATAATGTTCAATAACCTGTAACAGTAACAAATTCCAACTAGCCACCCAATCGGTGAAAGCAACTCTCAATACTTCATTTGCATACTGGTGGCCCAGAGTGAGAACTGCAGCCAGTCTGAATACATAACAAGAAGCCCACAGCTTTATGGTTTGCCCGTTCTGACCCTGCCTTGGGCTCTTCAAGAATGACTTTGCCTTGGTAATTGTGTCTCTGTTTGGCTGTGGGAAAACCATCGTAGGAAAACCTCAAAAAGGATATCATTGAGATAGGGCAGAAATGGCCTAGACTGGATGGAGCCGCTCCCTTAGGAGGAAAGGTTACATCATTGGGGGCTCCTTAAACATAAGATGCTAGCTTAGTCGGTAGTACATGAGACGCTTAATCTCAAGGTTGCGGGTTCGAGCCCCACGTTGGGCAAAAGATTCCTGAATTGCAGGGGGTGGGACTGGATGACCCTAGTGGTCCCTTTCGACTCTACAGTTCTCTGATAGTATAAGTATAGGGGGAACATGTGCAGCCAAAACAGCACCACCCATTCATAAAGAGAGATGTGTAGCCAAAATAGCACCACCCATTCATAAAGAGAGATGGAAAAGCACAAACCAAAAAAACACGACTCCCTGAGGGGGAGAACTTCCCGAGAACAGCCCAGAAAGGACTGGGCATGCTCGGGGGCTTTGTAATGCTTGCAGACCTTGTGGAGAGAAATGGGGAAGCAGGTTGGAGGGGGAATAGAACAAAATGCCCTAGAGCACTTCACGCTGCAACTCTGGGTTGCAGCGCCCACTTGTGCTCTACAAGAATGCGTCTCATGAAACCTCCATGGATGCCGTCCTTTTTTTGCCATTCCAGTTCCTTCTTCCTGAAACGGGATCCCCGTTGGTCGAGGAGCGGGTCATGGCCTTGTCCAGAATCACCAAGCTGGTCTGCTGGATCACGTCCCATTGCACACCCGAAGTGAGGCTCAGTCGCCCATTCCCAGGGCTGGTTTGGTTTAGCAAACTTCGTGGAAGTAGTTCAGAAAACCTCCAAACTACGCCTGAAAGTAGTTCCCATAACTGCTGAACAATTCACCTGCAGTTTTTAGGGTTGCCATATTCTGAAGAGCAAAAAGAGAGGGCACATTTTCAGATTTTAGCTATGGGTCGCTATGGCGAATCATGAAAAATACTGTAAATGGAGCAGTTCACTCTCTGCACGTGCTTTAAGATACTTTCTTGCTGTTCTTAGGTACAATTCTATGCTTCTATGATTTTACACTCCAGCCCAGCAACTTTTAACCTTCTGCATGGTGGGGATTATTTGAACTTGAACAGTTTGTCGAATCATAGAATCACAGAATCGGAGAGTTCGAAATGAACTGAATTTGCTCACTTTTCCCCAAATGAGGGGTGCTAAAAAATTGTAACACGACTTGGGAATTCAAAAGATATTTGGGCTAAATTAATATAATTTAGTTTTGCTTAGTGAGTAAAATTGCATAGAAATCATTAGAAATGATTGCCAAGTACTTGCAGTTATACTATATATTAATATTGCATTATTATTATTTTTATTAAGCAATACCTGGCATTTTCAGAAGGTAAAATTAAAATTCTTTGGTTTTCCAAAAACCGTTTATGTGCTTCTTCCTCAAACGTACTTGCCAAGCTAAATGTTGTCCAGTCACAAAAATAATAGCAGATTTGAATTCCTCACACCCAAAACCATTTTTTAAAAGATCCCTCACTGAAGGAATCTGAAAAAATTAAGTTTCACCCCGTAAAATAACACTCTCTAGTAGCCCATGTCAGTGTGCCACCTTCACAGGAAAGAGTAAAGGGGTGCATTTGGGGATATCTTGGCAGCAGGGTCCAAATCCATAGGGAGGTTGATTAAGGTCTGCTTCTCTTTGCACCCCACTGCAGCCGTGGTGGGTGGCATGACACAAAATGGCTGCTATGGGGTGCATGGGATGGCACAAAATGGCTGCTGTGGAGTGTGTGGCACGACACAAATTGGCTTGCTGTGGGGTGCATGGGGTGGCACAAAATGGCTGCTGTGGAGTGTGACACAAAATGGCTGCTGTGTGCATGGGACGGCACAAAATGGCTGCTGTGAGGTGTGAGGTGTGGCACAAAATGGCTGCTGTGGTGTGCATGGGATGGCACAAAATTACTGCTGTGGGGTGTGTGTGTGTGAGAGACGGCACAAAATGGCTGCCGTGGGGTGCGTGGCATGACACAAAATGGCTGCCACACTTGAGGAGGAGTAGTAAATGAGGTACAGTAGAATGATTCTCTCCTGCAGGGAATGAAGGACTTCAAGATGGGGAAGCTGGCGGGGCACCTGGCGCTTTGCAGCAAGGACTCCAGCGAGAGCGTGTGCCACTGGGCGGCCGACGCACTCCACCGCCTGTACACCCTGATCCTGCACCAGAAGAGTAAGAGCGAGGACCCGCCAGTTTCCCCCAAGATGGTTCATGGCGGGGAAAGGGAAATAAATGGGTTGGCATGTTGGCAATAGCTGGGAAGCGGGATGTCCCGCCAGAGGAGATAAAGCAAAAAAGGTTCTTCGCTTAGAGCAGCCTTTCTCAACTTGTGGGTCCCCAGATGTTGTTGAACTACAACTCCCATCACCCCCAGCTAGCAACTCCAGAGCTCAGGGATGATGGGAGTTGTGGTCCAACAACATCTGGGGGACCCACAGGTTGAGAACCGCTGCTTAGAGCGTCTTCAGATTAGCAAGGGTGGCTTTACCTTCTGAGCCTGCCTGTTGGAGGCTTGTTTCATGGCTGCTCCTGCTATTCTCCCCAGGCTGTCTGTCAGCCCAACCCTGCCTTTCTGAGGGCCGGGTGGAGAGCCCTGGAGGGCCACCTTCAGGGGCCGGGTCTGAGCTTCCCTGCTGGCCGGCCTGAAGGAGTGTTGGGCGGCCTCCTTTCGCTGCTCCATCCCCTCTCCGCACCCTGCTTAGGGGTGCCCATGTCCCTTGAGCTGACCCCAAACTCCTCCAGCTCCACTTTCCGTTGGGGTGACCCACTGGGGAAATCCGTGTCGCGTGGTCCTTCAAAACCTGCAAAGCCACCGTCCCAACGCTAATACATGGTGAGTATTGGCACCTATTTTTTGGGGGGGGGGTGCAGCACTGTATATCTATATATCTATATGTATCTATATATCTCTCTATATATAGATATACCGTATATACCGTTTCTTTGCATCTATCTACAGCTGTAGGTATACAGTGGTACCTCTGGATGCGAACGGGATCCGTTCCGGAGCCCCGTTCGCATCCTGAGTAGAACGTAACACGCGACTGCGTGTCTGCACATGCGCAGGTCGCATTTCATTGTTTCCGCGCATGCGCGTGACGTCATTTTGAGCATCTGCGCATCCGTTCTGCAGCCCCGTTCGCATCCTGAGTAGAACGGAACACGCAACTGCGTGTCTGCGCACGCGCAGGTCGCGTTTCGTTGCTTCCGCGCATGCGTGTGACGTCATTGTGAGCGTCTGCGCATGCGTGAGCGGCGAAACCCGGAAGTTAACGCGTTCCGTTACTTCTGGGTCGCCGTGGAGCGTAACTTGAAAACGCTCAACCTGAAGCATATCTAGCCCGAGGTATGCACTGTATCTATATCTATCTTTCTATCTATCTAATCTCTGGGTTTCTTTGTACATTTCTTGAGGCCTGATGAAGCCTGAGAACGACCCAGAATTTATGGAGCTTATGCAGGACTGGAAAGAGGAAAAGATCTTCTGGCTGGCCTGGTTCTCTGACATCAGCACCACCACCATGGTAAACCTTTTTCACCAGCTCCAACGTGTGTCTTCTTCACACCTGGCAATTTGGGCATGGACCTGTTTTACAGGTGCAGCTGAAACGAATGTAACCAGCCACAGGAGTTTGGAAACCCATCCAGTTAATCTAGATTAATAAAATTATGTTTTGTTTTGTTTTTAAAAAGGAAGCACGCCCAGTTGCGCACAGGCACATGCAGAGAGGCAGGACGGACTGCGTCTTGGTGTTTGCCGTGCAGCCAAGGGCACACCTGGGGTTTTGAGCTAGTGGTCGTATAAACTGAGCCCAGGACTGTTTTTTGACTGTCAGTGGTTCTTCAAAGGTCCTTCTCTGCTCCACTGCTGTAATCTGAGATCGTTTCAATGAGAGAGTTTAAAAAAGAAAGAATGAATATGAAAAAATGCCCAGCACTCAGAAAACTGAGTGATGGTGGGGGCAGCAGGGATAATTAAAAAAAAATAGAGGGAGAGGGGATGCAATGCAGTATCCAAGAAATGGCTTGGCTGTCTGGCTATAAGGTAGGAATCCTGAATAGGACCATTTAATGCTGCAGAGTTTTAATTCCTAGTCCCAGTCCCACTCAGAGGGTTCATCCACACATCCACTTGCCCCACAACTTTCCCCCAAGTAAAATCAATTTTTACTGCTGAATTGGAGCAAATACTAATTGGTTTTCTCCAGATTGATGGTTGGCTCCGATTTAGCACTGGCTGGAAGTGTGACGAGCCCCAACACTGCCCTGTGGTTCTTTCCTATACATAAGGAGAGCACTGCGACCTTTCCTGCAGCACCAGAATCATAGAATTGGAAGGGACCACAAGGATCATCTTGTCCAGAGTTTCCCAAACATGGGTCTCCAGCTCTTTTGGGACTACAACTCCCATGATCCTTGAGCACTGGTCCTGCAAGATAAGGAAGATGGAAGCTGTAGTGCAAACAAGAGCTGGAGACCCAAGTTTTGGAAAATCCCGTTCTAATCCAATCCCCTACAATGCAAGAAGTTTTTGGCCCAAAGTGAGACTCGAAATCCATGACCATGGGATTAAGAGTCTCATGCTCTACCGACTGATCTTTAAGGAGGGTTCCATAGCGAGTCAGCTGATCCCAAGATATGATCCCAACATGGTGGATCCCAGCTCTTTGGTGTAATCGCCCACCAGCCTTTCAACGGACCCCCTCCGTTTTCAGAAATTCAAAAATGCCTGCCATGCCGAGGAGCAGATGGACTTCCTCCTAGCAGCCATCAAGGGCATGAGGGACGACAACCTTTACCACACGAAGGCTGCCATCCTGGATGCTGAAAGCCATGCTGAGGATCCCCAAGCCCCGTTTTCATCAAGGTACGCTGCCTTGGAGCCTCCCGTTCCCCCTTCTCCTCTCTCCCCCAGTCACCTCTTCCCACCTATTTTCCCCCCGCAGGTGCCCAAAACCACCAGGTTCATGTATTTCAGTCTGGGCACATTGGAGACCCGCAGGCCCGCCTGGAAGTTTTCAGGTTCCTCTTGCTTTCTGGGTAAGAAGCCGCCCTCAGGATTGTGGTGAAGAACCCTCCTGGGCCTGCTCTGTTCCAGTGTGACAGGTGAGCGGGATGGACAGGGGGATAAAAATTTTTGATTTAAATCCTTTTTCGTACTCGCTAAATCAGTGGTTTCTCGAACTTTTTTTTCTCTGGGCCACACTTTCAGAATACATGGTACCTTGGGTTACATACGCTTCAGGTTACAGACTCCGCTAACCCAGAAATATTACCTCGGGTTCAGAACTTTTGCTTTCAGGATGAGAACAGAAATCGTGCAGCAGCGGCACAGCAGCAGCAGGAGGCCCCATTAGCTAAAGTGGTGCTTCAGGTTAAGAACAGTTTCAGGTTAAAAACGGACCTCCGGAACGAATTAAGTACTTAACCCGAGGTACCACTGTACAAATTTTGCCTACGCCACACCGAATTTTTGTCAATAAAAATATATTGGGAAACAAAAGAAATAACTCCTAGCAGTGCTTGATTTATAACACAGAACACAACTTACTTGTTAATATGATCATGGGGTGTCCAGAAAGTATCAAAGAATACAGCTATGTAAGAAGGTGAATCATTTCCAAAATGTAATTATAAACGAGCATGAAACTTAAGTATGTGTACAAACTCAGTGAGAGGTGGGAGGTTGCTTTTGCCAGGTAATTCTCATTTATACCAGGGTGGAATCTAGACACGCATTAAAAAACACTCTGAAAATGCTTTTTTTTAAAAGCGTTTTTGAAAAAATATATTGAATTTGCCATAAGCTCATCACTGCCATCTAGTGTCATGTTTGTATGATTCAGGTAGGTAGTCGTGTTGGTCTGACGCAGTAGAAATATATTTTAAAAATTGAAAAAAATTCTCCAGTGGCACCTTAGAGACCAACTAAATTTGTTCTTTGGTATGAGCTTTCGTGTGCCTGCATCATATCTGAAGAAGTGTGCATGCACATGAAAGCTCATACCAATAACAAACTTAGTAGGTCTCTAAGGTGCTACTTGACTTTTTTATATTTTTATATATAGTTCTATGTATGATGTACTTAAAACGTTATGTTTGCAGCTGTATTGCTGAGGTCCTGGGGTCTAATTTGAGACAAGCAAACACTCATCTCATCAACGCAGAGATGCCTTTCTCTCTTCCGCTCTCTCATATTCGTCAGAGCTGAACATCCCTGCTCACAACAATAGGTCGTGGAGAACTGTAGAAGAACAGCCAATGCTCTTTTCCTTTTTAAAAAATTAAAAGCAATTTATTCACAAGTTACGCTCCATCTTTCTCCAATCCTGCAGAACGACCCCTCCAGTCCTAAGCCCCACATCACCTGCCTAGCCAGTGCTCTTGAAGAGAGGGGCACCACACACATACTGGGTCTAAATCGCCTTTCTCTCGTTTCGCCGTAATCTGAATGCATTTTGTGCGCCAACCGAAGCCCCTGCTTTCCCCCCCCTCGCAGCACCGCCTCCGGCATGTGGAACAGCTTAACCTGCTTCTCCGACACTGCGCAGAAGGTCCTGGGCGTGCTGCAGTCCATCCCTGCAAGAGCAGGCCGATGTACTGGGATGGCCACAGGGTTAAGGGCCTCCTTGCGACCCCTGGCCTGTAAGTGCTGGCAGGACCTCTGGGCCCCCAAGAAAGCACCCAAAGAGCAAAGCGGCCCTGTGCGTGACATCACCAAGGCCCATCCCCGGGGCCAGCCTGCCCACGAGGCAGAGGGAAGCGAACCCTGCCTCGGGCAGCGGACTTCCATGGGGCAGTGCCACTGCAGGCACAGCACCCACCCCTGCCACTGCTGGGTCACGCAGTGGCAGCAGATTCCGGCTTCCCCTCGCAAAGGCGCCACACAACCCCAGTAAGGGAGGCAAGGGGGGGCGGCACCCTTGCCTCAGGTGGCAAAATGAAACAGACCCCAGAGATGCCCCTTCGGCGTCCGGGTGACCATTTGAGGGACCTAAGGACGTGGCTGGGAAGGGAAGTGGGCGGGAAATTCCTCTCCTTGCTCATGTACAATCAGGCGCCTTGACCGACCTCCCAGGCCAACGCAGCGTTTTATGAGATCTTGAGGCGCCCGTCCCCAGCCTGCCGCGAGGTGCTGAGAGAGATGTTCACCACGCTGTCCATAGCAGTCCTCTGCCAAATCTCCTTCGCCGTGTACTTTACACCAGAGGAGACGGATGTCTACACGACGGCCTGCATCCGCCAGGAGATCCCCATCCCTCCTGCTCCTTTCAGGTGCGCTTCTTTTGGTTCATCCGATTTTCCCTGTTTGTCACAGGCAGGGTCGACTGATACTGCGGTAGCCCTGTAGCCAGGGTGGCCGGACGCACGCACGCAGCTCCCTGCTGAGCCGGACTTCGCTCCTTGTCCGGCCCAAGGTTGTTTTTTGGGAAATTGTCTTTTTAATTTGTGACATGATACACAGCGACAGCCTCCAATTGAAGAATGGCAGCTTCTGTATTGTCACGCCAGGCTGTGCTTTCTGGTCCTCAAGGCTGCATGCAGAAAAAAGCCTGAAAATGCATGGGTGTTTTCTTCGAAATGCTTAGCGGCGTGGGGATCACATGCGAGTGACGGTAGCCAGGATTGCTGTGATCAAGGGAACAACTTCAGCACAAGTTGGTCTCTGCACCCCAACCCCTGTGGTGCCCGGGACTCTGTGAGAGCCAGCTATCTTTTACCAGCATAAACTATGAGGCACAATGGCCTACCCAAATAACTGAGGTAATGCATCCCACCCCTTTGAGGACCTGCTGTAAACCCAGCACAAGAAATCCATTCTAATACGGATTTGTCTCTGTGTGCAGGTCTGCTTTGAAAACTTTCAAAGGCCTCATCAGACGTGCAGGAAATGAGGACTTAGGATGCTGTTTACTTCTTATTGTTGGTTTAGCCTCTCTAAGCCCCGGCTTTGGCTGGCCGAGGGTGGGATATAAATTAAATATTATTATTATTATTATATTATTTATTATTAATTATTATTATTATTACTCTATGATTCCTTTGTTTTCGCAATTGATCCATTTCACATGATTTGTTCTGATGGCGTTTTCATAGCATTGTGTGTTGATGTTATATTTATTAGATTATCGTTCTAGTAATTTATTTCCCAGAACAAACTCTAGTGTGGTTCTCTAGGCGCTTACTGGACAATTTTTAATTTATCTTTCGCACTGCGGTCAGACCCATTTACACGGCTACTACCTGAATCTAATTACTTCTTTTGTAATTGTTGAAGAAAGGATTTCTGTATCAGTTTATTATCTCGCGTCAAAGTTATAATTGTATTTGTGTGCTGTTCTAATTGGATTAT